GGCGGGGGCTGGAGGCTGGGGCCGGAGGGAGGCTGGGGCACCCCACCTGATGGCTCCCACAGCCTGCCCCACTGGTTCCCGAGGTCCCTCAGCCAGAGCTTTCTTTCCCAAAGCTTGCAGACAGAGGAGACGGTGCAGAAGGCCTTAAAGTTCCTGCTCCCTCGCCCTGTGGCCGCTGAGGAGAAGTAACCAGCCTAAGGAGCACGCCAGGCCATAGTAACTCCCCACAACAACAGACGCTCTTGCTCTGAGCTTCCAAGAACCCCACAAGATCTGAGTAAAAGGAGCAAAAGTCACCTGCCAAATAAAGCTTGACAACTCACAGCCTTGGGCTCTCCTTTGCGCCAGTGACACCAACCTGGCTCCCCCGGGTGGACTAGACACAGCCCGCAGCCCTTAGAGTGGGGGTGGGAGGGAGCTCTGATGCCCCGAGGGCACCTAGGGGACAGACCGCACCAGGAGAGGAGGATGGCACGGTGACACGCGCGCCCTAACTCCACCACACAGATGGCAAGACAGGCCTGCTACAATCCCAGCACTTTGGGAGGCCAAGGAAGGAGGATTGCTTGAGTCCAGGAGTTCATGACCAGCCTCTGGGCAATGCTGCAAAAACCCCGTCTCTACAAAAAAAAGACCTCCAGTGTGCCACAGTTTCAAAACCCAAGTCTGTGGTGTCATGTCAGGCGACTGGGGAGACGTGAACCGAGGGAGCAAAATGACCAAGAGAACGCAGGCCTGGCATGCTCTACAGGACCCAGGCCAGCATGGAGGGCGCACAGGCAAAGAGTACAGGGACGGGACTGCCCGGCCTGTGCTGGCTGACGCCTCTGGAGGCCCAGGAGACGCGCTCCTTCCCCCTGAGCCTCTGTGCTACCCAGACTCCTGGGCTCCAGGCTGCAGACTCCCACCTCCTGTCGAAAACCTACCTCTCCCTGACAGGGACAGGGAGCTTTTCTGTCAATAAATGCTGCTTTAAAATAAAAATAAGAAAAAGTTAAAAAAAAAAGCTGAGGCACCACTGTGTTTCAAGGAGGCACTGGAGGGTCATACTCAGACCCCGAAGGAGAGCACTCTGGGGGCCTCGGTGACGTGACGGAGCCACTTACAGGGCGCTTGCAATCGGACGCACGCTTGACGTCTGGCCCAGGGTCGGCAGGTTGAGACACATTCCAGCCCCAGAAGGCTCCCTTAGGCCCGGGCCCTAACTTGACCTGGATGTGGGGAGGAGCCTGTGGGCGCCCCTCCTGCCTCCAGACAGCCACCTCCAACTGCCCGCCAGGGCGGAGGAGGCCGGCCCTTCCGCAGCCCCCCGCCCCCCATCTGGTGAGAGCTGCAGGCTGAGGGCTGAGTCAGGTGTCGCCTCAGACTCAGAAGCCCCTTTGTGACGTCAGCATCGGCCCCCGACAGCGGCCTCCCCCAGTCCTGAGAGAGAGGCAAGGTGGATGATGGGATCCCACTGTGCCAAGCTCAGCACCGGCCACAGCACAGGCCACGGCCAGGGCCACGAATCCTCCATGAAGAAGCTTATGGGCTGCGTGAGCCGAGATGACTTCTCCTTGTCGTCGGAGGAGGAAGAGGAGGAAGAGGAGGAAGGGCAGGAGGAGGAGGAGCTTCCGGTGCAGGGCAAGCTGCTTCTGATGGAGCCCGAGTGGAAGGAGGAGAGCACAGTGGACAACCCCATGACCCAGCAGGGTCCCAAGCCCACGCAGACGTGCTCCGGACAGCCTGGGGAGTGGTGCCCGCTGACGTGCCAGCAAGAACTTTTGGAAAAGAGCCAATAAAAAAGTCTCCGAGGATTTCCCCTCTCTGGTTTCCCCTGGCTCCGTGTGGGCGTGGGCGTGTGAGGGGGCTGCGCGTGGGGGGGCAATCGCCAAGGGGGGAAGGGTGGGGCTGGGGTCCTTGTTCCCAATACCCCGGGGGGGGTTCAGGTGCTTTGCGGGGTGGAAATCATCTTGGCCATACTCGTCTCCAGGGCTGGACATTCCTCTCCGAGCCTGAACAGACCTGGCCCGGAGCATGGGGGACAGTGTGACCCTGGGCAGGTCCTGGCGTCTGGGAGCCCTGGCCCTCCCTGCGTAGGGGGAAGCTGACAGCCTCGAGTGTCACCGGCAGGAGCTAGTGGCAGGCCTGGCACGAGCACGTGTGGCGACGAGGCAGGGGTCATGGTGGGTTGTGGGGTGTCCACCTGTCTGGGGCGGGCCAGATCCTTCTTGGCCACCCACACACTCTCAGCGACCCTCCATGCGCCCACTAGATGCTCAACCCTGCCCTCACCCTGGGGCCCAGCTCGGGCAGAGACGATGCCCCAAGACAGTGGACCAAGGAGGCCAGAGAGGCAATGGGCGCACAGAGCCAGGCCAAGCCTTGGTCCAAGGGATGCACCGTCTACTCGGCCCCCACTGTTCCAGCCACAGGGAACTGTGCTCTCTGTTCTGCCCCCTTGAGCATGGGCCACCCACCCTGAGAAGGATTCTGTTAGCATATCTGGGGCCGAGGAGGCAGCATTTCCAGGGAGCCTCCGTTACTTCAAGCTACGTTTAAGGGGGTAGGGGGAGATGCCAGAGGGCAGGTGGGGCAGTCCCAGCTTCTGCATGACTCCCACCCCTACCCCTGCAACAAGGCCCAGAGGTCCACCTGACTTTTCATTTCCCCAGAAAACACCTGTTGAGTGCCCACTGTATACCAGGCCCTGTGCCAAACACTAGGGGCCCTGATACGAATAAAGCAGTCTCTGTTGTCCTGAGGGAGACTGTCCATGCTCTGTGCTCGAGGGTGGGAAGTAGGGAGGCAGAATGAGGAAGGGGGCCAAGGAGGAGGGGTCCAGAGGCCAGAGTGGGTCCTCATAGCATGGCCTAGCACATGCCCACAGCTAGACCCACTGGACCCCAGGCAGGGCCGTGAGGCAGAACCACATATGCTCTCGAACACCTGTGAATCTGTGAGTGACCTTGAGAGGCGGCCACACCTGGATTTGCTGTGGGATTTTGGGCTGGTTACTCAACCTCTCTGAGCCTGTTTCCTCTGTGAAAAACATAATACTAATACCTGCCTCACAGGGTACATTACTTTTTATTTACTTATTTTTGAGTCTGGGTCTCACTCTGTCACCCAGGCTGGAGTGCAGTGGCACAATCATAGCTCATCGCAGCCTCAACCTACTGGGCTCAGGCAATCCTCCCACCTCAGCCTCCTGAATAGCTGGGCATACAGACATATGCCACCATGCTTGGCTAATTTTGTCTATGTTGCCCAAGCTGGTCTTGAACTCCCGGGCTCAAGTGATCCTCCCACCTCTGGTATCACATGTGTGAGCCACCACACCCAGCCTGCATTACTTTCTCAGGGCTGATGTGTCAAATGATCACCAACTTGGTGGCTGAAAACAAGACTTATTCTCTGGCCGTTCCGGAGGCCCAAAGTCTAAAGCCCCCCGCTCCCCAGCCGTCTCACCTGCTCAGCTCATGGCACTACCTGGCTTGTGCCATCCCTCCTGTCTCATAGAAGGACACTTATCATTGGACTTAGGGGCTAGCAGATAAGCCCAGTGTTCCTGTCTCATGGCCATTAAACCTAACCACACCTGCAAAGTCCCTTCTCCTGGATAAGGTCATGTGGGGAGGCTCCAGGGTTGAGAGTGGGCGTGGAGTTTGAAGGCCACCATCAAGCCCTCACAGAAAGAGGCAGAACTATGCACGGGCAGCAGAGAGCAAGAGGCCAGCGTGCGCTGGGACCTGTGGTTGGGGGAGGTGGGGACACAGACAGTGATGAGGGAGAGGTGGGGACAACAGGCCAGGGTGGCCGGGAGCTAAGCCCAGGGCACCGGCTGGGTCAGGAAGGCGGGCGACCCTGGATGGACACCCGGAGACTAGGGAGACCGGACGGCCTAGTGCAGACACAGGTCCGGGCCTTCTCCTCGGACCTGGGGGTCAAACCAGGGCCGGTGTGACTCAAGCTGCACACTCAGCCTTCGTGGGGGGGGGGTCGAGTCAGGAGGTGGGAACTCAAAGTAGGAAGGCAGCGTGAGGGCCTCCCAGGCTCGACAGGCATCTGGGCTCACGAGAAGACCAGGAAGATGACACCCCTGTCACACATGGTGCCCAAGCCTCAAAACCTACAAGGACCTACCCAAGACTGGATATCTGTGCAAACTGGGGCTTGAACCAGGCTCTAATCTCCTGACTTTAAATCTCGCCAGGTGGGGTAGGACAGCCAGGTGGGCCCAGGACTGCACTCCTGGAACCCACACTGCCGGGCAGAGGGGACAGAGCCAGGGATGCTTACTGAGCTCCTATTGTTTCTCTCAGGTAACGCTTCCAACGTCCCCGTTCCACAGAGGTGAGGACACTGGGATTCAGAGGGGTAACTCCCTGGGGCTGGTGGCAAGAAAAAACCAGAACTGGGATGTGGACTCGGCCCAATCTGACCCCAAAGCCCCACTCTGAGCGGCAGACAGGCCCGCCCCAGAGTGCCCCTGGTGGGGGTGGGGGGGTGGGGCCGCGTCTGTTATGCCCTGTGGCCTGTGCCATCACAATCAGCCCCTGCTATATAACCAGGGCTGCCAGCAACTCCAACGCCGGGCCTGCTGGGAGAGGAGGAGGAGGAGGAGGAGGAGGAGGCCTCTGTCCCTCCGAGGGTGGCCTCCCATGGACACCAAGACGCAGAGCTTTTTCATCGCCCACACCCAGCCCCACAGAAACTCTCGGTCCCAAGGTCACACTTGCAGCCACTGCAGCTGCCACTGCCAAAGCTGCCGCCAGAGTTGCAGCTGGAGCCGCAGCCCCAACCAGAGCCTGCCCAGCCAACAGAGCCAGAGGCCCAGCTCCAGCCTGCCACCGAAGCACCACAGACAGGCCGTGCACTCCCACCCCTCTCCCGCGCGCACCCCCACCCACTGCGGCAGCCGCTCCAAGAACAGAAAGGCCTCAGAGGGCAAGGCGAGCAAAAGGAAGATGGCCAGGAGGGTCCAGCAGGTCTACAGGACAAAGAGGCAGGGTCCAGGTACCCTTCGGCAGTGGGGAGGCAGTGGGGCCCACAGGGTTGGCCGAGGGCTCCCGACAGAAGGGCCACCAGGCAAGGATGAAGAGGGAGACGGGATGCAATGGCAGTGGCTGGTTGAACACGACACACTGATGGACTGGGTCTCCTATAAACCGGATGGGTTGACTGGGAGGAGGGATGGACAGCAGAGTAGCTAGATGAAAGCAGGGGTGAGGGGAGAGGCTGAGGGACGATGACTGGGCGGGCAAACAATTCACTAGGTTAGTTAGATAGAGGGATGGGTAATAGGATGGAAGGAAGGAAAGGAAAGGATGGGTGGGTGGGTGGAAGGAAGGAAGGAGGGAAAAACGCACCAGTTAAATGACAGGAAAGTTGGATGTGCTTAGCTGACGGACAGACTGTTAGGTAGATGACTAGATGGAAGAGTATGGTTGGTGGGGGAGTAAAATAGGTGGATACACAGAGAGTTGATAACTTTTGACGAGTGGTTGGGTTGGCTGGTTAAATAACGGTCGGCTAGGTAGGTACATGATCAGTTAGTGGACGGACAGATGGAAAGACGTTGGAGTGATAGGTTCACTGGAGGAATGGATGGAGCAACGCAACTGACGATGGAAGAACAGATTTAGACTACTGGGACTGAACAGGAAAGAATGAAATGATGAATAAATGATGGAATTGGGCGGAAGATAAACAGAGGGATGAATGGATGGATGGGGTCGCATAGGTCAGAAGGACACTGAGGATGGCCTGAGCTCTACCTATGCCCATATTCACAACACAGGTCTCTAGTCCTGCAAGAGCTAAGGCCCCTCCCACTCCTATTCCCTAGGGCGGAAATACAACTGATGAGACGGCGCCCCAGCCTGTTCCTGTGTGTCACCCAAGCAAGAAGTGCTGTCCTGCGGGGAATGCCAGGCTGAGGGCAATCTTTCTGCAGGAACATGCTCCCATGCTGATTTCTATGCAACATTGATTAAAGCTTGTACACTGGAGGACTGTCCTTGAGCAGGCACTGTGATTTCACTACAGGGCGCCCCATGTGTTTGGGGCCTGGGGGGAAGCGGAAGCCGGAAGGAGGTCACACAGGGATTGGGGACCTGTCTGTGACGGGACCGTGTACAAGTCTAAGGCAGCAATGCCAGCATGGGCAGAAACAGGCTGAGAGGCCCAGAAGCCTTCGAAGCGGGCAAACCACATTCTGCTAGGGCCGCACTCCTCCTTTGCCCTATGTGCTCCCACGTGTGTGCACACCTGTTCTTGTGATCCACACAGATGCAGCCCAAGAACATGATGGGGAGACAGGAAAAGGGCTTAGGAACGTGCATTCTGTAGGCCAGAGCGTCCCGAGCTTGGATTCTGGCTTATCCTATAAGCTTGCTCTGTGACCTTGGGCTGGCAATCAACTCCTCTGAGCCTCACTTGATTCTGTATCAACCTCACAAGTTCCTCAAAGCAGTCATGTTAACAAACTTACTAAGGGACCAATCTGTTCAGGAGTTGTACCAGACTCTGGGAACACAAACAGGACACACAAGGCCCTCCTGGAGCCTGCAGGCCAAACACAAAGATGACTTGCCAGTTAGGAGACGTGTATCAAGACGTGTATCAAGGGCAATGCTGTGCAAAAAAACTCTGGTGGGACAGGAGAGGTCCCAGTGGCAAGTTGAGAGAATGTTCTAGGCCAAGGGAACAGCACGCACAAACGCCCCAATGAGGGAAAGAGCCTGTGTCAGAGCCTGCGCCCTACGCCCTGGGGGTCTGTTGCCATAGGGAGGATCTGGAATGCCGTTTGGTATGGTGAGAAGGCACGGGAGGGTCTCGACTGGGCAGATGACAGGCTCTGGCATGGAGACTGGACTGCAGGGGATGGCAGGCAGAGCACTTAGCAGAATGGCGACTGGCAGGGGGCCACACTGGAGCCCATCCAGGACAGGTGGGCTGGAGATGCCTCCTCCCCACTCCTCCTCAGGAGACAGGACTGAGCACCCACCAGTGTGGGCTCTGGGCTAAGACCCAGGAGGGCGCTAATGGTCACTCAAAGCCCTTGCAGGCTTCAGGTAGATGTGCAGAGGGACGTAGCCATGGACATAGGCTTTCCCACCTACAAAGTGGGTGTTCTTGTGAGCACGTGTGCCAAGTGCTGTTCAGGCTCAGGGTCTGGCACCCAGCAGGAACCTGGTGAGGCTCTGCCATCGATGGGGACACATTCCCAAGAAGGAGTGCTAGCTGCCCTATACAGAAATCCGGGCTGGTCGGGGCCCGGGCTGGTCGGGCCCACACTCGCTAGCCTTGGCTTTAGGGTCAAGTGTGCAAGGTGCTTGCGCTCCTGGCTGGGGACTTGGGACTTGTCTGAGACTCAGTCACCATATCTACCTAATGGGGTCCTGGTTCTAACCTCCAGGCCAGCAGCCTGGTGTGAGAAACACCGAGCACAGCGCCGCATGCAGGGCTGCTGCTTCCTTTTGTGTTTCACTGGGGATTTGGGTGGAGAGAGAGGGCCCACCTGTCGGTGGGCAAAAGTAGAAATGAGGGAGCCTGTGGTAGAAGGGAAGGGCCCTGGGCCCTGGAGCTTAGGACTTCAGAAGCCCGAGTTTTATAGGGCTCTGAGCTCCGTTGGGCCTTCCAAGGCAGTGGCATGGCTTAAGGTTCTCCTTCAGAGCTCAGTTGTGTGACCTTGAGCAAGTCACCTGCCCCCTTGGCACGCCAGTCTCCTCTGTCACATGGGAGGATGCCTCCCCTGATGGGTCCCAGTGGGGTAGGAGGGGAGGCATGTGAACACCTGCAAGCACACGAGGGTGCGGGTGTCTGGGGCCCACACGTGCGTCAGGTCTCTGTGTCAGGGTGGGTCTGAGCAGCTGTGTCCTTGTGCGTGTGACTGGGTGTCTGCGTGTCTCTGCCACTTTTGTCTGAGTTGGATTTCAGGAAAACGCGGTGTTAAGGACAGGTCCATAATCCATGGCATGGCCCTGCAGGCATGCAATCGGGGCGCCCGGCCCTCTCACACTCAGACATGCATGTGCTTAGTGTGGGACAGAAGGCAGAAGGGTGGAGGCGGGCCTGCTGGGGACCCAAACTCGGGACACAGAGACAGACGATAAACCCAGCCTTGAGAGGGCACGTGACCTGAAGGCAGCCTACCTTTTCTCTCTGGTCCAGAGTTTCACCTCAAACAGCAGGACTGTCTGGCCATCCTCCTGCAGACCCAGTGGCCACTAAAGGGAGGTCCAGCATCCTGGGCTGGGGGCAGGGGTGGTCGGGAAGGAGAGAAGACCCTGTCTTGAGAAGCCCACTGGGGGTCTGACTCAGGAAACACTTCCCACTCCACAGCACACAGACCCTGATTCCAGCTCCAGCTCCCCCAGTGCCTCGCTGGGTGTCCCCAGGCCTGTCCCTCAACCTCTCTGAGACTTACGTGCACCTCACGCTTTGTGAAGAGGACCAAGGGCCATGTTGTCTTTCTACTGCTGCCTCCCAGTACCTGGCACAGTGCCTGGCACATAGTGGGAGGGCAGTAAATATCTGTTAAGTAAGTGAAAGAAGGAGCCAGCCTTAAAGCAACAATGAGATGCCACTTGTGTACCCATCAAGTAGACAGAAATGGAAAAAGCCTGATAATGACAAGAACTGGTGAGGGACAGGAAAACATGTCATTGAATGCTGTTGCCAAGGGCATGCTGGCAGGTGACTGGGCAGTGTCCACTGGCTAGGCACAGTGGCACACACCTGTGGTCCCAGTGCTTTGGGAGGCTGAGGCAGAAGGATCGCTTGGGGCCAGGAGCTTGAGGCTGCAGAGAGCTATGATTGCACCACTGCACTCCAGTCTGGGCAGCAGAGTGAGACCCTGTCTCTAAAGTACAAGTAAAGTTTATCAACAGCTTCTCACACATGTGCCAAGGGGCTGTACAGGGAGGTCAGGCCATGTTGTTTCAAGAGCCAGAAACAACCTGTGTGCCCACAGGGTTACAGCTTAAGAAATACCCCAGGGGCCACACTGAGGAGTGTCACATTGCCCTCAAGCAAAAAAAAAAAAGAGGTTATCTGTACACGATCCATCCAGATTGCTGGAATGTACTGCTGGGTTGGAAGGCGACACACAAGAGGACGCATCCTTGAGAGGAAGCAGTCCTACTCAGGGCAGCATTCTCTCCATGGGTCAGAATGCCTGCAGACAAGTGCATGGAGAAAGAGCAGGAAGGACAGACCACACTGGAGCCAGGTTACCTCTGGGGCGGGGACGTTTTAATTATTGTGTATGAAGAAATGAAAATGAAAGGGGAAAGCAAGGAACAAAAATTGACAAGGGCATCTGACGGCAGCTTGGCAGAACTTGTGGGATCTGAAGGGGTCCAGGTGTGTTGGATGGACATCTGGGCTTGCTGGCCTGGACAAGGTGACCAGAAGGCTCTCCCTAGGGGGACTTGCCGCACCCAGCTCTCTGCCTTCCCGGGACCAGCCTCCTACAAGTCCAACAGAAGGGCCTTACTTAACCAGGGCCTCCAGCTCACCTCCAGCCTCATTCCTGCGGCTCTGGTTCTCACGTTCTCAACATGCTCTGCCAGAAGAGCTCTCCTTCCCCACGTTCTCTAATGCTCAGTCACACCTGTAATCCCAGCACTTTGGGAGGCTGAGGTGGGAGGTTTGCTCGAGTCCAGGAATTTGAGACTGGCCTGGGCAACGCAGCAAGACCTTATTTCAAATCAAAAAACTAGCCGGGTATGGTGGTACACACCTATAGTCCCAGCTACTTGGGAGGCTGAGGCCAGAGGATTACTTGAGCCCAGCAGTTTGATTTGTTTTTCTTTTTTTTTTTTTTTTTGAGTTGGAGTCTCACTCTGTCACCCAGACTGGAGTGCAGTGGCACGCTTCTGGCCACCGCAGCCTCGACCTGCTGGGCTCCAGCAATCCTTCCGCCTCAGCCTTTCTAGCTGGAATTACAGGCGCACACTACCACCCCAGCTAATTTTTTGATTTATTGTAGAGATGAGGTCTCGCCAAGTTGCCCAGGCAGGTCTCGAACCCGCGGGCTCAGGCAATCCACTCACCTCAGCCTCCCAAAGCACGGAATTACAGGCTGAGTCACTGAGCCTGGCAAGCCCAGCAGTTTGAACTATGATCACACCACTCTACTCCAGCCTGGGTGACAGAGTAAGACCCCGTCTCTAAAAAAAAAAAAAAACCCCTAAACAAACAAACAAATAAATACAACTTAGCCAAGGATCACCCCCTCCCCAGCCGGCTCGGTCCTTGCCTGACATGCCATGTGCCGGCGCATGGCATGTTGAGGCTGCTGCTGGTCTGTGTGTCCCAAAACCAGATGCCTCCTTAGGGCCAGCTGGGCCTAACTCAATCCCTGAGTGTGGCACTGGGCACCCCACAGCCCCTCACAGTGAGGGCTGCAGGCGTCTCAGCATCCCAGCCTGCTGGATGCGAGTGGTCGGGTCAAGCCTCAGAGCCTTTGCAAGTTCTTTTTCCTTCTATGGCAACCACCAAGGTAAACTGTCGCATCTGACGCCTGACCACTCATGGGAGGGCCACTCATGGGAGGGTGGGGCCGGGAACTGGCCGGGCCTGTTGGAATCCCCTGAAGAAGTGGGATAAGCAGGTCCCTACTTCCTGAAGGACCCTGAAGCGCTACTGAACAGGCCTTCCTTCTGTTGGGCTCTGGGACAGCTCTCAGGGCCCGGATTCAGTTGAGTTGCCTTGAGCCGGTGGGTGGAGCTGGGCTGGGAACCAGGTGTGCCTGGACCCCTGGCCAGCACTCTCAGACACACATTCCCTTGCACCTCCCATTCTGAGGCTGTTTGCAGGAACACAGTGGGGGCCTTCTGAGAGCGGCCGACCCTGGCCACCTCAGGCAAGGGCTGACCTGGGCTCCCCTCTCCTCACATGTGCCTGCGCAGAGTCTCAGAGCCTCCCCAGGACCGTCCAGCCCTGAATTCTGGCTTGCATCATGGATCCCTGACTGCTCAGACCCTCCCTGTGGACTCAGGGCTTCTCCCTCACCTGCTATGGGAACGGGAGGGACCTGCTTCGACCCCACACAACGAAGTGACCTCTCCTGACAGAGGCCTTCAAGCCAGGTGTTGTCTAGCCCCAGGGCACCCCAAAACACCAAGTTCCGCATCTCCCCGAGTTGTGCCGTCCTCATCACCAAAAAAGTGTGGCCTGGCTCAGAGCAGGGGCTCAGCAGGAGGAAATCTGTTTTTGGGATCTCCAGAGAGGGAGTGCGGACCACAGAACACAGGCTGTGGACTCCTGGCAGTGCTCTCCCTTCGGACGGTCTTTGTTCTCATTTCAGGGCCTAGTGTGGGGATCAGAGACAGCCACGAGCTGTGTCCCAGGCCACTCCTACCACCCATCATGGCTAACGCCCCAGCTGTCCACACCTACAGCCCGAGGACCCTCCACACCCAATCCTGGGGCGTCTTCTGAGCTCTGCCCTCTGTCCCACACTCAGGGTAAAATCCAAATCCCGCTGACTGCCCAACAAGGCCCTGCTGGATGGGCCAGACTCCTGCCATATGTACTTCTCATCCCTACACTTGCTCCCATCTCCCTTCTGATCTTCAAGCACACCAACACGCCCACCACAGGGCCTTGCACTGCCAGCTCTCAACACCTGGGTCCTCCTCATCCCACTTTTAGAAAAGTCTCAACACCAATGTCACCACCTCTGAGAGGCCTTCCCTGACTACATCATCTCACCCCACACGCCTAGCCGCTCCCTTTCTCCCCGGTGGTTTCCTACATGGCACTTGGCAGGATCAAAGTGATCATGTGATTTTAGGTCTGCCTGAAAACCTCTGAGTCCCCAGTGCTCCGCACACAGTAGGCACTCAATAAACACTTGCAGGATGAATACTGAAGTGAAACAGACATGCTACTGCCCCAGGCCGCACTTATGAAGTGACAGGCTGTAGCCTAGAGCAGCAGACGTCAGCATTCCCACTGTGAGTCCCGCAGTTCAGGGATCCTGGGGACACAGACGACCGCAGGGACCGGGCTAACCCATGGGCTGGAGGGAAAGGTGGGCCAAAGTGCCCTGGGGCAGATGACAGTTTCAGGATTAGCCGGACCAGGCTGCAGTTCCCAGCAGGGCACCGCTAGGGTTGGCAAGACCAACCGAGCCACAGAGCTCCAAGGCCAGGACCTCCACTCCCGCTGCCACTGGGGCTTCCCTTCTGGGCCCCCGGAGCCTGCCAAGGCAGGGAAGAGAACTATCTGGCTACGGTGTGCAAGTGGTGTGCACAGGCTGTCCCACGGGCCTGTGACCTGAAGCCACTGTGCCAACCACTCTCCCCGTGCCTGGCACTCGCTCTGGGCTTTGATGCCCGCTGCCCTGCCAGCCACGCAGTACCCAGCGCATTCTGCAGATGGGGCAAGTCGCCTGCCCTGGGTCACTGGCCCCATCCTGCTGCAGAGGTGGTGCTCCCAAGGCCCAGGGGCTTCCAGGAACCTGGCACCCAGCCCTCCAGAAGCACGGTCACGAGCAGGATACGGCAGTCAGCATCCTTCTTTTTCCCTTTTGGCATCTGGATTTGGTTTCATTTTGAACTCAGGACTTCAGAAAATGAAACTAAAGCTGTTCTGCTGTCACTGCTGATGGCGAGGAGAACCCACATGCACCGAGTTCACTCCAGAAGCCCCCCCACCCACCGCCTTCTCTGGCCTGTGTGTCTTGGGCTTGGGCTCCTAAAATGGGCACAAGGAGCCGGGCTCGGTGGCTCAGCCTGTAATCCCGCACCTTTGGGAGGCTGAGGTGAGTGGATTTGCCTGAGCCTGTGGGTTTGAGACCCGCCTGGGCAACTTGGCAAGACCTCATCTCTACAATAAATCAAAAATTAGCT